AGGAATTATACCGTAGTAGGGGTGAGGGAGATTAAAGGGAGGGAAGAAGGAAAAAAGAGAGTGTGTGTGTATATGAGGGTTGCACTTAATGCTTTCTGTTCTAACTGCTTGATGCACATGCTTCAGCCTACTTCACATTATTCAAGTTTATTGAATATGGATAAAACATATATTTTCAAGTGGTTTTTAGTCGATATTTTATATTTTCATATTTGTATTCATTCAAAGCTGTTTAACGGTCTATACACATCAAGCAAACCTTCATAATTTTCCTTATTTATTAAAAGTTTTTATCCCAAGTTATACCTTTCAATAGTCCAATGAGCATGAAGCACAACAATTGTGCAGCAAAAACAGACCTATTTCACTAAATAAGTCACTTAATAACTTACAAGTAAAAACAGACCTATTTCACTAAATAAGTCACTTAAAAACTTACAAGCAAAAACAGACCTATTTCACTAAATAAGGCACTTAATAACTTAAAAGCAAAAACAGACCTATTTCACTAAATAAGGCACTTAATAACTTAAAAGCAAAAACAGACCTATTTCACTTAATAAGGCACTTAATAACTTAAAAGCAAAAACAGACCTATTTCACTTAATAAGGCACTTAATAACTTAAAAGCAAAAACAGACCTATTTCACTTAATAAGTTGCATAATAACTTACAAGTAAAAACAGACCTATTTCACTTAATAAGTCGCATAATAACTTACAAGTAAAACAGACCTATTTCACTTGATAAGTCACTTAATAACTTACGAGTAAAAACAGACCTATTTTACCTTATAAGGCACTTAATAACTTACAAGTAAAAACAGACCTATTTCACTTAATAAGTCACTTAAAAACTTACAAGTAAAACAGACCTATTTCACAATTAATAACTTGCAAGTAAAAATAGACCTATTTTACTTAGTCACTGAATAACTTACAAGTAAAAACAGACCTTTTTCACTAAATAAGTCACTTAATAACTTACAAGTAAAAACAGACCTTTTTCACTTAATAAGTCACTTAATAACTTACAAGTAAAAATAGACCTATTTTACTTAGTCACTGAATAACTTACAAGTAAAAACAGACCTATTTCACTTAATAAGTCAATTAATAACTTACAAGTAAAACAGACCTATTTCACTTGATTAGTCACTTAATAACTTACAAATAAAAACAGACCTTTTTCACTAAATAAGTCACATAATAACTTACAAGTAAAAACAGACCTATTTCACTCAATAAATCACTAAACAACTTACAAATAAAGCCAATTATTTTGTAAAACCATCAAATGCACTTCAGTAATGCTAAATATCGTCTTCTTATTCTACAGTTTACTGGTTCTAACTGTAGCTTAATGTGTATTTGATGCTGTTCTAAAGTAAAGATTTTGACATTTGTAAACTTTCTCAATTTTCATGTGAACCTCATCACTAAGATGGCAATGTCGGAAGATATCGTCGTTTTTCACACGCCAAAAGTGTTAAATTCTGATAATTTCTCCTTTGCTTTCTTCAAGCAAAATATGCGCAAGTCACATTATCAGAGAACCCGTAAATAAAAATGAACAGTTTAACGAATATTTATTTGATATTTTGAAAGGTACCGTTGTAAATCGGGCAAAGTCATCTTTAAATGGAGGGTCACTTAAATTACGATTACAAGTTCTTGCGAAGTTTATAAGTCGTCTTCTTATTTTACTTTATTTCTGAATAAACATGAATGAATCATGAATACAGAATAACCAAGACTATGGTATTGAAAGAGGAAAGTCCAGTTTCTCGAAATTAATTAAACTTTGATGAGAAAATTGTGACATCTGACAACACTGACAAGTTGTTTACATCAATAAACAGGGGTCAATCCAAATATACAAAATATATCTTAAAAAAATAAACTTTTATGTATTTTGTTAAAAAAAATATAAATTATGGGGTTTGCAATGATTTCCTCCTTGAGTTACCCTAAAATCCCTGGATATGGATATATTACGAAGAGATCCCCGCAGGCAAAAGCAATCTTTTCAACTAGAAATCTAAATAAACAAAGCTAATCAGGCCATAGACAGATTGACAGATAGACAGATAGACAGATAGAAAGATAGACAGCTAGACAGATAGACAGCTAGACAGATAGACAGATAGACAGATAGACAGATAGAAAGATAGAAAGATAGACAGCTAGACAGACAGACAGATAGACAGATAGACAGATAGACAGATAGACAGATAGACAGATAGATAGATAGACAGCTAGACAGATAGACAGCTAGACAGATANACAGATAGATAGATAGACAGATAGACAGATAGACGGATAAACAGATATTTAAACATGTAGAAGAATAGACAAATAGACAGAGAGACAAATGCGTATAAAAATAAAATCGACAAAAGACAACTTTAACATTTTAACAATAAAAAAGTAGATGAACAGAATTCACTTGTGTATGAAGTATCAATATATTATTCTAATAGATAGATAGATAGATAAATAGATATATAATAAATAATATATAGATATATCATAAGATAGATAGATAGACAGATAAACAGCCACCTAGACACCTATGATAACACAAAATGCCATGTAGATTGTAGATAGTTAGTTAGTTATATAGTTAGATTGATAAATAGATAAATAGATCTACATAGATAGATGTAGATAGATAGGTAAATAGATAGATGGATAGATAAATAGAGATTAATTTTCCAAGATTGATTTTTCCAAAACAATTTCTCCATAAAAGATTCTGGGTAAATATCTTATATTTTCTTTTCTGCGAATTATGTTGCAGGATAAAAACATAGACGAACAGTTTTACAGAATAACTGAACTTATTTAATCTTGTTTTTTTTTGGATTGTTCAGAGAGTTTGAAAACAAATATAGTAGTGAGGCAGAGAAAGTTAATTGCTGTTGCGTATTCTCTGCTTACATATTGAAACCAGTTCTCTCTGGGCAGTGTTTATAAACAAGAATAGATGCATCAGTGTTCCTCTAGTATCCGAGGAGGTTAAAAGCATTTAATTTTGAAAACTTTGATAATTCACATTATAGTTTCCTATGACCTAAATATTTCATCGATTTGTTATGTGAAAGATGGTTCCAACGTAAGGCTGTGTCATACGTCTTGTGTTTACATTACCGCCCGGAGACAGTACACTGCAGTACTAAAAATGCGTACACCTCTGAAATAACTATCTTAACATTATAATTCTTTGAACGCGCCCATCTAGACTTGATAATAAACACAAAATAGAATTATAAAAAAAAATAATTCTATTTCTGTCAACATTAAAACTGATTTTCAAAAAATTTCACAGATTGATCATAGAAAAACTTGTCTGCTACTTCTGTTTCTTGCGTAATCTATGATTTGAGAATTCCTACCAACAATAGATTGATTTACTTCATACATCACAATTTATATAAATATAAAATATATAGATATAAAAATGAAATAGATGGATATAAATCTAGAATAAAAATCTAAAAGAAAGAATTCTATGAGACATTTAGTGAATGCATTTGTATGTAAAATAGTTTTGCCAATTTAACTTTACCTGGAACCAGTTTTTCTTTGTATATCAGAAAATACTTATTTAAGATTTGGCAGATTTTCTGAGTCTTGGAAGAAATCATCATCATTGATATCTTCCATTCTGAGGCAGAAATGCTCATACACTTTTAAACAAGAACCACAGTCGAAAAAAATCAATTTTGAAAGTGAAACTGATGGATATATCGTACATTCTTGGAAATACAATATAGCTTTATAAGGGTACTGTTGAGAATTGGTCTTGTCACTTTGCAATCCAATAGTTGTATTTCCTACTTGTAAACTGTACATATAGAAAACATAAACAGAACGCTAAGTATATGCAGTGATCAGTATGCATATATATAGAACTGTCGAATAAGCGCTCTCCACTATGCATACAGAGATCATCAATACATATGGGAATGGTTGTCGTCCTGGCTCTTTTTTTAAGCTAGAAATGATTTTGCTGTTTGAAATCAATATATTGATATATAAAGAGACCGAATTTAATGAATATTAATCTCAGTTGAACTGGGTAAACTAAGTTAAACTACCTCTCTGAAAAAGTAAAGATTAAAAGAACTTAGTTCACGCAAATCAACAAATTTTCTTATTAGTGTCTCATTTTAACTGATCTTTTTAGTTTTGTCTTAAAATTAGATTGGTTTAAATTCCTTAACCCTCTACATTATACACCGATCTTAACCCTATGCTCCCCCCCCCCACACACACCAACCCTTCTACCCTTTTCATTCTGCCCATAAACTTCCCACTGTGAATCAATTTCGTGTTGCACATTTTATTGAATTAATCAATTGATTGATTATTGATTAAAAAATTGTTAAAATTTTGTGGAAACATTCTTCATTGTGTGGACAAGTTAATCATAAAATGATAGGTAGATAGGTAGTTAGGGAGAGAGGAAGATATATAGATAGGTAGATATTTAAATAGCTTGATAGGTATATAATTATATAAGTAGTTTGGTAGATAGGTCAATAGATGCATAGATAAGTAGAAAGGTAGAAAGGTAGATTAGTAAATAGATAGGTATAAGTAGAAGAGTGGATATATTAAAAAGGTAAAAAGAAAGTTAAAAATAAAGCAGAACAATTGTCTTCTACGTGGATTTATTGAATTATAGAAAAAAAGCTGAAATTTTTTTATTTTAAACTGAATAATTTATCTTCGAATCTTTAGTTATAATACTTAACACGAAGACGACAATCAGTCCGCTTTACTCTAGATATCACTGCTTATATTTAACTTCCAACATTAAACAATAAAAGTTTCAAATTACCAATACCTCCATGTTAGAATTAACAACTGCTTGAGGGTTCAACCTGTTAAGATATATTCTTCAATATTTCCAAATATGGTCTCAGAATCTTCAATCCAAAGCAATTCAAATTTTGACAGTATATGTCTACACTATACATGAACGCGTACTGAATGTTTATGACCAACAAATATTTATTTTACTTCAATATTCTTTACCTCTTCCTTCATTTCTTCCTCATCTCTTCCTTCATTTCTTCCTCACCTCTTTCTTCATCTCTTCCTCATCTCTTCCTCATCTCTTCCTCATCTCTTCCTCATCTCTTCCTCATCTCTTCCTCATCTCTTCCTCATCTCTTTCTTCATTTCTTTCTCATCTCTTCCTTCATCGCTTCCTCATCTCTTCCTTCATCTCTTCCTTCATCTCTTCCTCATCTCTTCCTTATCTCTTCCTCATCTCTTCCTCATCTCTTCGTCATCTCTTCGTCATCTCTTCCTCATCTCTTCCTCATCTCTTTCTTCATTTCTTCCTCATCTCTTCCTCATCTCTTTCTTCATCTCTTCCTCATCTCTTCCTTCATCTCTTTCTCATCTCTTCCTCATCTCTTTCTTCATTTCTTCCTCATCTCTTCCTCATCTCTTCCTCATCTCTTTCTTCATTTCTTCCTCATCTCTTCATCATCTCTTTCTTCATCTCTTCCTCATCTCTTTCTTCATTTCTTCCTCATTTCTTCCTCATTTCTTCCTTCATTTCTTCCTCATCTCTTCCTTCATCTCTTTCTCATCTCTTTCTCACCTCTTCCTTCATTTCTTCCTCATCTCTTCCTTCATTTCTTCCTCATCTCTTTCTTCATTTCTTCCTCATCTCTTCCTCATCTCTTTCTTCATATCTTCCTCGTCTCTTCCTTCATCTCTTTCTCATCTCTTTCTCACCTCTTCCTTCTTTTCTTCCTCATCTCTTCCTTCATTTCTTCCTCATCTCTTCCTTCATCTCTTTCTCATCTCTTTCTCACCTCTTCCTATATTTCTTCCTCATCTCTTCCTTCATTTCTTCCTCATCTCTTCCTTCATCTCTTTCTCATCTCTTCCTCCCCTCTTCCTTCATTTCTTCCTCATCTCTTCCTTCATCTCTCTCTTTCTCTCCTCTTCCTTCATTTCTTCCTCATCTCTTCCTTCATCTCTTTCTCATCTCCTTCTCACCTATTCCTTCATTTCTTCCTCATCTCTTCTTCATCTCTTTCTCACCGCTTCCTTCATCTCTTCCTCACCTCTTCCTTCATCTGTTCTTCATCTCTTCCTCATCTGTTCCTCATCTGTTCCTCATCTCTTTCTCACCTCTTCCTTCATCTCTTCCTCACTTCTTCTTTCATCTCTTCCTCACCTCTTCCTTCATCTCATTCTCATATCTTCCTCATTTCTTACTTATCTCTTCCTCATCTCTTCCTCATCTCTTCCTCATCTCTTCCTCATCTCTTTCTCATCTCTTCCTCACTATTGTAGAGAAACCACAATTGAAAGTAATTAGGTTTCACAATTAATTAGCATTAATATTGAATTCATACTTGATCAGGCAAATCTGTAAAGGGTACTGTTCTAGTTCGAGCACTGCGTACATATAATCTCTTTAAGAATCTTTTTACCAAAATATGTAGAATACATATTCAAATTCTAATTTAAAATGTCAAATAGTAGTTTCATACTATTTCAAATTCAGCAGGATATCTAATAGTAATTGGTAATTCCTCAATTTTCCTTGGATTGAGTCAATTTACACATTTTTCAACATGAAGGAAAGGAATTCTTCAGTTATTTAAAAATACACATTCGTACTAAATTTTGTGGATTGGATCTTTTCTTCATGTTTTTAAATAAATTGTTCAAATATATTTGTGGGTCGGTTTTTTTATGAAAGTTTTGAAATTTTAACCCGCGAGATGAGATACATTAAAAAATTGGAAAAATTGTACATACTTCCTTGTATTTAAAAAAAAAGAATTTCAATTAATTAAGTTAAAATGCAAATTTTCTTAAGAAATGAGGTATTCTTTAAAAAAAAGTTTTTAGATATGGATGTTATTGTAATGTTTCATAAGTCTTGAAAAAGTCAGAATACGAAAAATGTTTTAAGTTAGCGATATGTAAATGAAAATCAAGGTAATCTTTTTTCATTTATTTTCTAATTTTTCTAAAAATCTTTTCAAACAGTTCAGATCAAGTTTTCCAAAAAATAATTTCTGTTTCTCAGTGTTTGATGGAAATATAATCTATATTTTATTAGAAAGAATAAGAGATAAAGGGAAAATATATTTTTGATATTTTGATCCCCCCCTTCCCCTCCCATGAATTCTCTTTGAGTGTCCTTTTTAATCATTTCTTCCTTCCCCCTTCCCTTTTTCTGTTTTCAGTTTTTTTTGTTTACATTTTCTGCCCTTTCTCCTCAATTTTCGAAATTTTGTTTAGCTTTCTCTAGGTCACACCTCTCTAGCTATCCCGCCCCCTCTCCCCGAATTAAGAATTGTGCCTCTAAGTGGTAAACGGTAATTATTTCGACACATATTTTAACATTCCAAATATACTTCTGAAAAGGGTTTATTACCCGAATATGTGCTTTAAATCAGAATAAAAATAATAAACTTAAATTCTCTGAAGATTAGGTCAGTTTAATGCATACCGCATACAAATGCAATATGCATATATTTTCAAGCCAAAGGCTTGGGTTATATTTTAGTACGTTCTCTTAGGGGTATATATATACGGGAACTTCTGAACCTTGACAAATAAAAATATAAAATTTGTTATTTTCTGGAGAAATCAGATCAAAGTTTATCGAATATCCCCCAGGCATAGATTCAAGGCAGTAGATTCAAGGCAGTTAGTATATGCTTTAATGTAATGCATGATAAGATAGACAAGTTTAATCAACTTTCCAGGGGCACAGTTTTAACTGTATTATTATCAATCAATCCTGTATCTTGTATCCTGTATCCTTTATCCTGTATCCTGTATCCTTATTCTATATCCTGTATTCTGTATCCTGTATTCTGTATCCTGTATCCTGCATCTTGTATCCTGTATCCTGTATCCTGTGTTCAGAATTTATATTTTATTCTGTATCTTGTATTGCATGCTTTAATGCAAGCCGAATTTAATTCCATATATATATATATATATATATGCCTACAAACAAATATAAATTATGATACATGGATACATGGATACATGATACATAGATACATGGATACATGGATACATGATACATAGATACATTGATACATGGATACATGGATACATGAATACAGAGATACATGGATACATGGTTACATGTATACATGGATACATGGATACATGGATACATGGATACATGGATACATGGATACATGGATACATGGATAGAAGGATACATGGAAAAATAAATACATGCATGTTTTAATTTAATGAATGAAGTCTTTATGCATAAAGAAAGCGGTTAAAGTCATAGAGAATAGAATATATAGAGAGGAATTTACTTAAAATGTAATCTATTAACCCTATCTCGGGCTGCAGGGGTACTTCAAACCCAGTAGTATACTCATCATGGCCTTATTTCCTTCAGGTAGAATGCTCAAACATGATAAATAATTTTTTTTAAATATACCAAAAATATTCCAAAATTTGCAACAACAAAAAATCTATAAATATGTGTTGCCATGCACAAAAGAAGGTCGTTAAAAAACCATAATGATTTATTTATTAATATCAGACTTTTATTTTTATTAATTTGCTAAACATTTTATTGAAATACAAGAAGTTTAGTACTTTAAAATTAAACTTTAATGTTGTCTAGAAGGGCTAAGAATCTGAATCCGAATTTTTTGTAACTAAGAGTTTAAATTTTAAATTATAATATATTTCAACAAAATCTTTAAAGATTCATTATTTTTGTTTATTACTTTAATCTGAGAAGGTTCAAAGGAATCCTTCCATTAAAATCATAAAAATTAAATGTTCCTCAAACTGGAATAAGAGAAGAAACGAGCAGGATAATGAAACTAATCAAGAGTCTAGAGGACTCACAAACGGAACAAGAAAAGTAGGAAGTAAGAGAGGAAAGAAGAAAAAGACAACTGGAGAAATTATCTCAAGAAACTCAGAGATAGGATTGAATCATTTTATAGGAATAAAAATGGCAAGATGTCAGCCTCCACATTCAGGCACACAAAAGAAGACAAATTTGAGTCAAAAATAACAAAAATAGATTAAAACGGATATGACACATGGGGTGAGTGATAGATTCTGGAGAAGTTTAGATCACATTTAGCGTCCTCCGTAGCAAACCCAAATAGAGAAGAACCAAGACTTTTCCAGCACAAAATGCAAGAACACAACATTGAACACCCAGGTGCTCTACCAACTGCAGAACAGACATATGCATCATCAAGAGAAAAGATCACAACTGAAAACATAATCAGACGAAACTGGACTTCACTCCGGGTATAACTGGAACAAAAATAATTTTTTTTTTATGGATGATGACTGTTATCCCAGAAACCTTGATGAAAGGCTATAATCAATACCTGGAACAATATTCGGAAGATAAATAATTGGATTGGATTGGGCCAAAAACAGAAAGATAATTTTCATTCCAAAATAAGGTAGGCCAAAGAACAAGCTCTCTAGCTATAGGACAATAAGTCTCCTTGAGACCTATAATAAGATTGGAGCAAAGATCATTGCGTAAACAAAAACATATCAAGAATATAATTTGGATTTATCTCGAAAAGAACTGCTGCTGAAGCCTCAAAATATCTACAAACAATCATCGGAATAGTATTAAGAACCAACAGAAATAGTTTTCTTATCTGTATCCAGTGCCTTTAACTTAACAAGAGTAGAAGCTACTAACACAATGTTGAAACACCTCGGAACACCTGACGAGCTAATAAAGACAGTTGATGCACTAACCAGCAAGGGCAAATAAATTGTTGAAATGTTTAGCAAACAATTAAGAGAAACTGAAATCAAAAAACAGAAGGGGGGGGGGAGGAGACAGGGGATGAGAAAACATCAAAAAGAAAATTATGTGTGGGGCGTCTAATGTTGGAATTTGTTTTAAGCTGAAGTTGTTTACCAAAAACTAGAAATGAGCAAGGAAAAATAATAGAATCGAATATGATATTATGCAGTTTTGTTAAAACCGAGAGAAGCTGAAAAGCCTATCCTATCCTATCCTATCCTATCCTATCCTATCCGACGATGCTTAAGCAAATAAACAAATTGTAATGTTAAAATATATTTTTTAGCAACTTCAACTTTAATGTAATCACCAAACTTTGCATAGATTTTTGCACGAGAGCTGCTACATTTGGATCCCTGTGAAGTGTGAGTGGTATTCTAATATAAAAACCTAAAATAAAAATCGTTCCTCTTTTTTCTGTGCCGTTCACATATATGTGAACACTCCCTTTAAAGTCCACGTGTAATGTGTGTAATGTGCGTAGAACAGTCCCTTTTAGGTCCACGTTTAATATGTGTAATGTGCGTAGAACAGTCTCTTTAAAGTCCACGTTTAATATGTGTAATGTGCGTAGAACAGTTCCTTTAAAGTCCACGTGTAATATGTGTAATGTGCGTACAACAGTCCCTTTTAGGTCCACGTTTAATATGTGTAATGTGTGTAGAACAGTTCCTTTAAAGTCCACGTGTAATATGTGTAATGTGCGTACAACAGTCCCTTTTAGGTCCACGTGTAATATGTGCAATGTGCGTAGAACAGTCCCTTTAAAGTCCACGTGTATATGTGTAATGTGCGTACAACAGTCCCTTTTAGGTCCACTTGTAATATGTGCAATGTGCGTAGAACAGCCCCTTTAAAGTCCACATGTAATGTGTGTAATGTGCGTAGAACAATAAGAAAGAGAAAATCCAGAATCAGTTTAAGATTAATGATCCCCAGATTGTTGTCTGTCTACACAGTATTATCTTAGAATCGTTTTTTGCATTTTTAGCTCACTTTGGCTCATTTTAGTGACATGTTTGGCTCATTTTAGGGCACATTACTGAACTAACAGTTAGTATTTTGAACTAATCGATGAGGATAAGGGGGGGGGGAACTATTTTTCTTATTTCAGTTTTCAGTTATATGGCCATTTCAAAATGATTTTGACACTTTACGTTTTGATGTTTAAAGGGGTTTGTGCATTCCTATAACTTACTCATTACATTTTGTTTGAAAAATCGAATTATTAATATAATTTCAAAATATCGAAAAAATAAACAATGTTGGTCAAAATTACGAGCATTTTGTCCGAAATTACGAACATTTGTCCAAAATTGCGAACTTTTTGTTCGAAATTACGATTATTTTGTTAACTACAGCATAACATTTTCACCCATTTTGTATTAAATTACGATTGTTCAAAATTCATAACAATTTGTTAAAAATTACAAAAATTTAAAAAAAAACTTAAAATTTGTAAGATATTCCTAAAATTTCATTCAAAATGCTCTTAATTGCTTATGGT